GTCAGTGGAACACGGTACAGACGCAAATAGATTTGAGTCATGGGGCGCAAAATATATGAGTGACCAGAGCTACGGCTTGTACATTGAATTCCATTAAACGGTTGAAAAATACTACAGCCTTGATGCAAATTCGCCGACACACTACTCCGATTTTGCTTTGACTTTGCTACCAAACGTGTCACATGTGGCTGTGTGCGGTGCACTGATTAAAAAAAAACACGGGGGACTGGGTTAATTCAAAATTCGGAATATAACTATTCCAAATATTTCCAGTGAACATAAGCATCCAAACAATCAAAAGTGTGGTATGTCGAATGTGGATTTCAGCCATATTACATTTAAATTGAGATGTCGTCGTTGTTCATGAATAGGCATATTCAGAACATACTTTATAGTATATGCTGTTATTTACGATCTCCGGAGTACAGTTCTTCTTTTGTATACACCGTGAAAATCAGAAAATTAGTCCTTGAGGAAAAAAGGACATCGGATTACACATGAATGGTTTAATAATGTCAGCTAATGACCAGAAACGGTCGGATGTATCAATTAACTACATAAAGACGATTTTGAAGCATCTCTTATTGCTGGAAAAGAATAGCATCAAAATTCCACGCACATGATTTGTATGTTTTGTTTCCGTAAATGCGTGGCTTGAAATTTCAAATAAACCAACATGTCGACATACATGCTACAAAATTAACGTTTCCCGTATACTTCCCCGCCTTCAGGGCGGGGAAGAATAAAATACAGTTTCTCTCAAATTATGTAGCACGCACTGTGTTGTAAGTACATTGTAAGCTTTAATTCTACCTCTTAGAATCCATTATGATGTATATTTGTCAGTGACAATGTGTCAGTTGGTTATATAGACACTGAATTTATGAGTATCAGTATACATTTCACTTCGGCTTGCCAGAGGCCCTGTTAGGGTTAGACTAATGCTGATTGTTTCTCAGCTGAACATGTAGCGATTCTCACTCTGATTTTGCTAGGTACTGCTGTATGACTAGTCATTTGTTAACATGTATAAACAATATATACGTCCGAAGGTTTTGCAGGTTTGATTATATGGAGTATATAAGCCCATCACTCGATATCAGTCGTTGGTGGCTATTAGTAAATTGCTGCGCAGTTAGTTGTAATTGCAATATATTGAGAGAAAATATGTAGTTACACCTTTTACTTTGTAATGGCGTACTAGTTCAGTGTGTGCAGGACTTAACTGTACCACACACTCCTTTCTTTTTCCAGCTTTTACCACATACTGGCTCATCAATAAACAAGCCTGGTCAGTTATACTAGATGTTGTGGTTGACTTCTTACAAGCAATCAGGAAACAGAATAATCTAATTACCTTCCACTGATTTACCCCCACCAGATCTGGGAATGAAAGAGACCAGTGAAACCGCTTTTCATCTGTTTCATATTTAATTATATGCATAAAGATTAAGTGTGATAAAAAATGGCCAAATGGCCAAATGCTCATATGACTCTTGCTCGACAATTGTTTGTTCAGGGTTACAACATGCAAGGCATCATGAAGGCTTTCATAAGGTCTTTTTGTAGACATGTGGAGCACATTTCCAAATTGGACCCAAATGATGTCCGATTACCTCAATTGGCTCATCATATATTCCCAGTTTTTTTTCAGATGAACACTTGACCTGCCATTGCATGTGTTTGTGACAGGTGCCACCGGAGGGGAAGGATACAATCACCTTTTCGCGAAAACCTGGTGTCATCACTACTGCTTTTAGCAGATTTTTATTATGACTATGGTAAAGGTTTTGTCAGTTTTATTTGTTACAGATCGTGCTCCTGAAAACAGTGAAAGAAATATTTCTTATTTGTAACATGAGCTTTGTCGCCTTGTACTTTTGTAATATCAAGTGTATTCATCAGTTACAATTACCTGAAATATAAATAAAGGAGACCAATGAGACCGCCTCATCTGTTTCATATATAGATCTCTCTTGTATGACAAGAGGGATGACTTTCCAATAGTCCCTTTGTGTCGAGCAATATTCCTGCAGCTCCAATCTTTGGTATATACACAGGTTTTGAGGTACAATCGTGCATGCTCTTTCTACCAAGATTTCAAAGAGCGCCACACGACTCTTGCTAAAAAGTTGTTGCTTTATGCAGAGATTTCTGTTGGACATGAAAGGGTTTTGTCCTTTATTTTATCAAGGTTACGACAATAGAGGCCTCAGTAAAGCTTTCAAAAACTTTTATGATAGAACATTTCCATATTTGACGTATCAGTGATGAAAATGGTGTCCGATTGTCTATTTTGCCTTCAACCAAATGTTCCCGTCTTTTCTGCAGGTGTACCATCAACTTGCCTTTGTTTGTTATTAAACGCCACACTCGGCAACATTCAATCAGGGGGATGGCAGTCTGTAAGTTATCGACCCAGGATCAGACAATACAGTGATTTACATCATGGGCTTCCATCCATGACGATATGAAGACCAGGCCTGACCACTCGATCCATTTAGTCCCCTCTGACGTCAAGTATAGCCGCCTCTTACGTCAAGTATAGCCGCCTCTTACGTCAAAAGTATATTCGCCTCTTGCGTTAAGTATAGCCGCCTCTTACGTCAAGTATAGCCGCCTCTTACGTCAAGTATAGTCGCCTCTTACGTCAAGTATAGCCGCCTCTTACGTCAAGTATAGCCGCCTCTTACGTCAAGCATAGTCGCCTCTTACGTCACGTATAGTCGCCTCTTACGTCACGTATAGTCGCCTCTTACGTCAAGCGTAGTCGCCTCTTAAGTCAAATATAGTCGCCTCTAACGCCAAGTATCGGTTGCTGGGGACGTATTGTCGTACCCGAAATTCCCACTGTTTTAGTGCATGGTCATTTATGGTTCGGGTGGAATACTTAAATATTTCGTGAACGTGTATAGCACGAATGTCAGGTAAGTGAAGCAATCTTGCAAAATTCAATCCTTTATTCAGACAATGAAACATATATGTTAAAACGACACTCTGAATTTGGTCCGTTCAATTGTTAAATGAAACATGATATGCATAAATACACATTTCAGCTTAATACTTATGCATTGATTAGAAAATGCCTCTTCATAAATGATATTTTTGTACAGATGGTTATATATATTCATACCAGAGGATGTAATGTCATAACGCCGTTTGCACAATTTATTAGGTCAGCGTTAGAGATTCATCGATCTCAACTGTCAGTCGAAACAGGTTGCAATGGGTGTAAAAGGCAAACTAATGATACAAATAATATGAATGAAGCAAAATCAGTGATGACACCAGGTGTTCGAGAAAAGGGCAATCATATCCTGCTTCACTGGAAGCACCCGCCCTCACACACGTTTCATAAAAAATGACAGTATTGTAGCACCCAGCATTATTCCTGCCACACGACGGCGGCCTGTAAACAATGGAGTGTGGACCAGACAATCCAGTCATCAAATAAAGCGACAAAACCCTTTCCATATCCAATTAAAATCTCTGCATAAAGGAGAGTCAGTTGTAAATTTCCAACTGTATCATGAGCATGTGTTTATGAATCACTATCAAATAGTAATGATACCAGGTGTTCGCGAAAAGGTAAGCTCATCCTGCCCCACCGATGGCACCCGTCACAAAAACATACAAAGGCAAGCCCATTTCACTTAATTGTCTTTTACATGAGAAAAACATATGTGGCTGAAGCAAGGAGTCATTAATATGCAGTATATTTTCAGCTAAATACACTCTAAATGAGACCTCCCTTGATGAATGCCCGTCACATGTGCACACAGGGATATTGTTACCATAGTCCGAACTTTGTTATTACATCCAACCCAATCACTACACCCTCGCTGTACGTCACTGGCTTCTCTCAATGACTTCTCATCATGCAGTTATATTTGTACATTACTCCTACCTCGTGACTATCAGCATGTTTATATATATACTCAACAGTCTCACTGTATTCACCTGGATGAGGGTAAAGAAGTACCTCTGAAACACCGTAACAAAGAATAAAGAAGTCTTTATCCATTAAAGAGTGTCGTCTAAGTTGAAGAGCGGTACATTTTCCAGTTGGCTGCAGTTCTGGCTCAGATTTGAACGAGTGAGTGAGTGAGTTGGGTTTAACGCCGCTTTTAACAGTATTCCAGTTATATCATGGCGTGTCAGCTCAATGTGGGAGGAAAGCCCGAAGTCATGCAGGTCTCACACGTTTACCACTTCGGTGAAACCCACGAGCACGGGTATGGTGCTGACAAATCTAGAAACATGATTCGAAGCCACAATCATAGATTTCTGGCGTGCCACATGGACGCAACTCTGCACAGCGAATCGCGGCGATTTAGACGACTGGGCAACACGTGCCCCCACTCAGATTTGTCACGATGTATGAAAAGTAACATCATGTTATATACTACATTAATGGATGTGCCCACTGCAAAATAAATCAAATAAAGCGACAAAACCCGTTCCATGGCCAGTCGAAATCTCTGCATAAAGCAACAACTTTTTAGCAAGAGTCGTATGAGGCTCTTTGAAATATTGGTAGAAAGAGCATGCAGGATTATATCTCAAACCAGAGAGTACACTTAATGCAGGAACATACGCCTGATAATCCCTCAACCGCATTCGCACCAACATATTTGAGCGAAGACATTTAATCTTTCAATCTAATAGCACGAGAAACTTCACGAAAATACACACATGATACGCCTACATTAATAGTATAAATATATATAATTATATAACTTCTATGTCTCAATATTTAAATAATTCATGATGAAATATTATTCCCTACTTAATTAACGTAATAGTCAAATCCAGTAATGCCATGAATTATAAACTTAAGAATAGAATCTGTCAGATAGATGATTCTTCAATATTCCAAATATATACATGTACCCTTGAACACTATATACACGTGTGTTTACCCTATTGATTAAAGTTGGGTATAAATAAACGAAAATTTGGTTATTCTGACATACACATGTGTGGTGGGTTGGTATTACCGTTTGAGGAGATCGGTCCGTTTGCTTTTCGTTTTGACTCCCCCTTAATGTCAGGCATTTACCTCCCCGATGATCCACAGTTCGCTCGTCAATAGGATTTTAGTCCAGTCTTTCCATAGGAACTGCGAATCAGATTATTTGTCGATTTGGTTGACGCCATGTTGAACGGTAAATCAAACTTTGTCTGACGAATGACCACGTGACGAAAAGTATGAATATTCATTACGTGACGTAACAGAAGACTGCACTGTCAGTTTTCGACAATGTCGATCTAGCCAGTTTGTGTCATCCTGTACCTGATCATCATGATCGTGCACACCAACATTCAATATTCATCACATCTGTGCGTTATTCATGGAATATCATGTGCTTTAAATTTCCTATAAACCTTTTTCCATGTAAAGGTAATGTAATCTGTCGTCACATAACGTAATGAATATTCAAACTCTACGGGAGCGATAGGGTAGCCTAGTGGTTAGTGCGTTCGCTCGTTATGACGATTCCCAACATGGGTGCATCCATTTCTGGTGTCTCCGCTTGATATAACTGGAACATTGCTAAAAGCGGTGTAAAGCCACACTCACTCACCGATACTCTAGGTCACACATCACACAAATGTTTGACTTACCTTTGAAAAATGACGTCGACCCAGTCCACATTCAATCTGATTCTCAGTAAAACTATGTTCCTGAGTTGCATCATTGACACGTTTACTGTGGAACATCTGAGAAGGTGTCTGCATGGATTACAGGCCGTGAAAACACAACTCTCACAGCCCGTACCATTACTCGCAACAGAGGCGTATCAGCGAGGACAGTCTGACGACTTCCACGTATCTACGGTATCCATGCGAGGCACCCAGGCAGAAGGCCAATCCTGACGGCAGAAGAACGTCGACGTCTCCAGCGGTGCAGACATGGACATTGGAGACTTACCAGGATGAGATTGTGCAAACGGCCAGCTCAAAGTTTTGGGAACGGCTCTTTCAGCACCACATGTTGCTGGAGTTGTGCAGTAGTGCAGCAGTACCTGATTCAGGACAATGTTATTGTGTTGCCCTGTCCTGTACCTGATTCAGGACAATGTTATTGTGTTGCCCTGTCCTGTACTTGATTCAGGACAATGTTATTGTGTTGCCCTGTCCTGAACCTGATTCAGGACAATGTTATTGTGTTGCCCTGTCCTGTGTCTGATTCAGGACAATGTTATTGTGTTGCCCTGTCCTGTGTCTGATTCAGGACAATGTTATTGTGTTGCCCTGTCCTGTGTCTGATTCAGGACAATGTTATTGTGTTGCCCTGTCCTGTGTCTGATTCAGGACAATGTTATTGTGTTGCCCTGTCCTGTGCCTGATTCAGGACAATGTTATTGTGTTGCCCTGTCCTGTGTCTGATTCAGGACAATGTTATTGTGTTGCCCTGTCCTGCAAGGTTCGCTGATCTGTCGCCAATCAAAAATGTCTGGCATGACATGGGTCGCCGACGTCTTCCGAATCTCCCAACAACGTCACAGGGACTCTGGCTTATCCTTCTTTACATATGTAATGCCATTCTGCAGCCTTTTTTAATGTTAAGTGAATTCAGTGAGGAGAATGTTAGTCAAGATGAACACTCGCCCCTGGCTGTGTGCATTTGTCTTTGAACCCCCTCGTCTGACATGACATGGAGCACTCTTCAGATGGACTGTTGTTCGTTACAGTACCTTTAGACGTTGTTCTTTCCTTGCAATGTAATTCAATCCTCGGCAGTTAAATGATTTGACCGATATTCTTTGTGTTTTAAAATGCAAGTAAAGTCAAAATAGCAACTTTGCAGATTTTAACACTTCAGGGCATCACAAAATCGCAATCATTTTTTTTACTTTCTTGCCCTTTAAATGTCACAACATCGTTTGTCGTTGAGTATATATAAAACCTTACTAATTTGTTAGACTAAATACAACAGTTATTTTCTATTAAGTCAATCTTCTTCTTGTTTATGTATGCTTTATGTACGCTCCAGCAATGCGCGCACGTAACGGTTGCTTATAATTAGCCATGCCACTGTTGTTGAGCATAGAGTTCGCGTCAAGGCCTGTTATGAATACATGAAGACAGCCTCCGTGGCAGAACGTCTGCCTGGAGAGCGGATGGTCGGGGTTCGATCCCCGGCAGCGTCATTACAAAAAACGTTAAAATATGGTTGTTACCATGCCTGGCGCTCGGCATTAAGGGGCTAAAACAAGCACTGATCAGTATTCTGTGTCTTAGTGGGGTATTCATGTAAAAAAGCGGGATGCTCGCACTTAAAATCGGCATTAGTCCGGACTAGTAGAAGCTGGCACACGTGCATGTTCGTCGCTATATAAGTGCATTAACTTTGAACGCGACGTTAAACCCCATTTCATCTCATTAAGGATATTTAAGTCATGTTTCACGGTGCCATATTTCAAATAAGAACTTAACAAGGGTAGACATTTTCTGTTTTATTCATTATAAATCATAATACACAATTTACATTAAAAATGTAATGGTATATTAATTATTAAGATGTTGATAAGCAAACTAAAAATATCTGACATTTTCTTCTTTAAATTGTTATCTTTAATAAGATGAAACCACTTACTTGCAATTTCTTCTCTGAAAATCTGTGACACCGGTGTGGCATTATCTCTGACCATGGGCTTCATGTCGGACCAGCAATTGTCAACAAAGACCTCAGCATCAGCATGGTGATTGTGGGCGGAACCACGTCTAGTGACAAGATCATCTTTGGTGTTAATGATTGTTGTACATCTTGATGATGAGCAAGTCCAGTGGGTACTGTTCTTGGTACGACTCTTGTGTCTCCCAAAGATTCAGTTACGACCACCGCGTCTGTTCGTAAGAAATCGTACGTTAACCTATGCATTCGCCATAATTACATGAAGACGGATTCTGGACGCCAAGCCTATATACCACAATTGATGAATGTCAGTTCACTTGTCAGTTTAAACTAGAGTGAACTCAGTACACTTGCCTGTCAGACGGCCCCTATAATCTTCTATTGTTGTACCATTGAACACTCTTCATTGCCTTTCATGCCTGGAATAATAGAAACACGGGCGAAACAATAGCCTGTGACAGGGTTGCTGGGGTCATCGTGTGTGCATAAGCTCCTCTCAGTGATCTCCCATGTCCACGGGCAATATCATTGAATGAGCACAGCGATGTTGAGAGTTTTCAATATACCGTGCAGAGGAGCATTTTATTGCAAACGACAGTTTATGAAAGTATTTATATTTTCAGTATTTTTTTTCGAGTTTCAACTTAATTCATGGAGCTGTAGGGATCATCTATAGATGGGAAGTAAAATACACATTTTATTTCTCAATTATGTAGTTTTAATTATAATACACATGAACGCAGTTTATCAGGTATTTGTTTATTGGCGCTGTACACATACAAACATTTTCCGAACACTGTGTATCTTCCATAGGACATATTTTTCCAAATATCTACCATGGGACATATTTTCTTGTGACAACGATGGATAACAGCTGTGTTGAGGGTCAAAGGGGGTGGTACCTAATTTTCATACATTTTAAAACATTGTTGCCAAAACGTCGTGCAAATAAATGCACTTGTCAATTGTCAGGCATTGCTTTCAAATTTTCAGCCGCATTTATTCTTCACCCAAAAGCGCCGAGTGAGCTGAATGAAATGGTTTGGTGTCGAATATTTCGGCTACCGGAATCTGTCATGGAACTTCCACCCCAGCCACTTTCACTCAGTCGGGTTGTACAGATAATGGCGTCGTAGCCATCCCTATTCCCCGTTCCTCACTATGATCGACATTATGCTGACAGTGTTCCGTCCCATACTTTTCTGTGATAAAATCACACAACGAGTAATACTTTTCTGTGATAAAATCACCCAACGAGTAATACTTTTCTGTGATAAAATCACCCAACGAGTAATACTTTTCTGTGATAAAATCACCCAACGAGTAATACTTTTCTGTGATAAAATCACCCAACGAGTAATACTTTTCTGTGATAAAATCACCCAACGAGTAATACTTTTCTGTGATAAAATCACCCAACGAGTAATACTTTTCTGTGATAAAATCACCCAACGAGTAATACTTTTCTGAGATAAAATCACCCAACGAGTAATACTTTTCTGTGATAAAATCACCCAACGAGTAATACTTTTCTGAGATAAAATCACACAACGAGTAATACTTTTCTGTGATAAAATCACCCAACGAGTAATACTTTTCTGTGATAAAATCACCCAACGAGTAATACTTTTCTGTGATAAAATCACCCAACGAGTAATACTTTTCTGTGATAAAATCACCCAACGAGTAATACTTTTCTGTGATAAAATCACACAACGAGTAATACTTTTCTGTGATAAAATCACCCAACGAGTAATACTTTTCTGTGATAAAATCACCCAACGAGTAATACTTTTCTGAGATAAAATCACCCAACGAGTAATACTTTTCTGTGATAAAATCACCCAACGAGTAATACTTTTCTGAGATAAAATCACACAACGAGTAATACTTTTCTGTGATAAAATCACCCAACGAGTAATACTTTTCTGAGATAAAATCACACAACGAGTAATACTTTTCTGTGATAAAATCACCCAACGAGTAATACTTTTCTGTGATAAAATCACCCAACGAGTAATACTTTTCTGAGATAAAATCACACAACGAGTAATACTTTTCTGTGATAAAATCACCCAACGAGTAATACTTTTCTGTGATAAAATCACCCAACGAGTAATACTTTTCTGTGATAAAATCACCCAACGAGTAATACTTTTCTGAGATAAAATCACACAACGAGTAATACTTTTCTGTGATAAAATCACCCAACGAGTAGTACTTTTCTGTGATAAAATCACCCAACCAGTAATACTTTTCTGTGATAAAATCACCCAACGAGTAATACTTTTATGTGATAAAATCACCCAACGAGTAGTACTTTTCTGTGATAAAATCACCCAACGAGTAATACTTTTCTGTGATAAAATCACCCAACGAGTAGTTCTTTTCAGTGATAAAATCACACAACGAGTAATACCTTTCTGTGATAAAATCACACAACGAGTAGTACTTTTCTGTGATAAAAT